ACAAACGACCCAAGACACCAGACAACCCATAAACAAACGACCCAAGACACTAGACAACCCATAAACAAACGACCCAAGACACTAGACAACCCATAAACAAACGACCCAAGACAATAGACAACCCATAAACAAACGACCCAAGACGCTAGACAAACCATAAACAAACGACCCAAGACGCTAGACAACCCATAAACAAACGACCCAAGACACTAGACAACCCATAAACAAACGACCCAAGACAATAGACAACCCATAAACAAACGACCCAAGACGCTAGACAAACCATAAACAAACGACCCAAGACGCTAGACAACCCATAAACAAACGACCCAAGACAATAGACAACCCATAAACAAACGACCCAAGACAATAGACAACCCATAAACAAACGACCCAAGACGCTAGACAAACCATAAACAAACGACCCAAGACGCTAGACAACCCATAAACAAACGACCCAAGACACTAGACAACCCATAAACAAACGACCCAAGACAATAGACAACCCATAAACAAACGACCCAAGACGCTAGACAAACCATAAACAAACGACCCAAGACGCTAGACAAACCATAAACAAACTACCCAAGACAATAGACAACCCATAAACAAACGACCCAAGACGCTAGACAAACCATAAACAAACGACCCAAGACGCTAGACAAACCATAAACAAACGACTCAACCAAACCCCAAGGCATCCTGTGAGGGTGGGGGTGAAGAAGACGAAACTGGGCTTTTGTTTAATTTTGTGAAATCACCACACACAAGTCTAATTCAAGATTTAATGTTCCTTATTTTACACAATTTAACTTCCTACTTCTACCTAACTAGTCTATACTATATACTGTCTACTAATACTACTAACTACATTCTTCTATCTAACTGCACCCTCCCATGACCATCCCTAACACAACCCATGAACAAAATACTCAACCAACCCACAAGACAACGCATAAACAAACGACTTAACCAACACAGGGTAACCGATAAACATAACGACTCAACCGATACACCAGACAAACAATAAACAAACGACTCAACACACTAGACAACCCATAAATAAACGACTCAACCAACCCACAAGGCAACCTATAAACAAACAACTCAACCAACCTACCAGACAACCCATAAACATAAGACTCAACAAACCCACACTGCAAGGCATAAACAAACGAGTTTGCCAATCAACGAGACAACCCGCCGACCAAGATAGCCCACCTGTTTGCTAGTCATTAACACACAATAATCAGGAAGGTAAAAATCACTGACAGCCGGTTTGAAAAAAAGTGTTTTCTTTAACGTATCTAAAATTGTTAATCCAGTAACAAAACAAATAAAAATCAACAATAATGTTTAGTTTGTGACAAGCACTACAGATCACATTTCATGATCTTTCGTTTAACAGTACATGGTGTAGTACCCAAGTTAATCTTCTCGTAATGTAAATTAACATAGTGATTCTCACTCTTTTTGTTGTCCCATGTCAAATCACACGTTTAATTTATATCCACTGCGGTGGATTACCTGGCCTGGTGAAAATATGTGCTCGTGTTATCCAACGATAAGCGCCATGCATGCTTTATTGTTATAGGTGGAAGGTTAATGTTCTGCCACTTGCCTTGTCAAATCTAAAACTGTTTTTGTATGTTAATATTACACACATACATGCGTATTATATAATGTATAGACTTTTAAAACAATTGTACACGTAATTATTTTTACATATTAAAATAGGTAAAAGTAATATCTGTTTACATTCAACATTATAATTATAATTCATTTTATTTCAAGATGTTTATTTTTAGATCGGCTTGTCGTTGCGGAAAAGCTCATGACTAAGACATTTGTCCTTGAGATAATTTGTCCTGAGATCTTTTGTCCGTGAGGTATTTTGTCTGGGACATTTTGTCTGAAATCATTTGTCTTGAGATCATTTGTCATGAGATCATTTGTACTGAGATCATTTGTCCTGAGATCTTTTGTCCGTGAGATATTTTGTCTGGGACATTTTGTCTGAAATCATTTGTCTTGAGATCATTTGTCGTGAGATCATTTGTCCTGAGATAATTTGTCCTGAGATCTTTTGTCCTGAGATCATTTGTCATGAGATCATTTGTACTGAGATCTTTTGTCCGTGAGATATTTTGTCTGGGACATTTTGTCTGAAATCATTTGTCCTGAGATTTTTTGTCCGTCAGATATTTTGTCCGTGAGATATTTTGTCTGAGATATTTTGTCTTAGATCATTTGTCGTGAGATCATTTGTACTGAGATATTTTGTCGGATTTATATTTTGTCAGAGATCATTTGTCCTGTCACCACTCCTCTAGCATGAGGGGAAACTCATAAATCAAACAACGATTTTTTTTTTGTAGATTAAAATAGACAAAGACTACGGGAGAAATTCCAGAAAGAAATAGCAGATTGTATTTCAATGTGACAAAACTTGTTGTCGTAGATAATGCACAAAATTTAATGGTGGTCCTAATTGCTTTGACCACAGGTGCTTTGACCATAGGGGGTTTGATCATAGGGGGTTTGACCAAAGTGGAGCTTTGACCATAGGAGTTTTGGTCGTAGGGGGTTCGACCACAACGGGGCTTTGACCACAGAGGTGGGTTAACCGTAATAAGTCTGGCACTGTCTTCAAGGTTCCATCTGCTAGCCATACAGGTGCACGTGCTAGGCCATCGATGAGCTCGTGACAACCGAGTATGATAATACGATCATCACCTGGACCTGAATCAAATTGAACGAAGTGACGAAAAGGCTCCGGTATCTCAAATTCAAGATAATGAGGAATAGTAGGCATTGCTTTACTCTTCTGTATGTGCTTTCTCAACGCTCTTGACAAAGTTGTTTTATTGGGTAATGCGTGCAAAACACGATCTGTGCGAGTTGACGCGACTGTCGTTTGTATTGCAGCTGGTGTAGCAAGAGTATCCTCAAGTCTTCGTTTTATTTCTATAACACCTCGTTTTGCCGAACCATAGCTAATGTTTTCTTCGCGTGTAAATGTTGAGGATTTTCCCACCTATAATGACAAGAGCGAGTGCAATTATTGTAGCTTTGCAAGTGCGATTCTTCCTACACAGCCAAACGTGTGATCCATCCTGGCGTTCTCTGTGAAACCAAAATTCATGTTCAGGATACAATACAGTTCTTTTACCTTTTTACCTCTGTACTCCCCAAGAATTTTTTTTTTACATAGAATGGTGTAGATTACTTGTATTTATACTTGATGATTTAACATATTATTACATCCTATCGCAATTTAAAATATAAGTTAGCAGCTTTTAAAATGATTCCCTACCATATATGGACACAGCGCTTGTTGTCTTTTTCTTCTTTTTTGTTCTTAATTTTAACACGTTTTTCCTAACTCAGCTTCGCGTTTGTTTGTTTGTTGTTAAAATTGACTACGAAAATTAGCCCACAAAAAACGTGGGTCGGTCAGATTTATGATTAAAGCGAAAAGCACACAACACACGAATTTTGTAAATTTGATGGTGAACGTACCCACGATTTTTGTCATCAAATGTATGAACAGTCATCACAAGAACCTGCACAGCTCGAGGAAGCACAAAATCTACGAGCAGTCATTGGTAGAGCCCCTAGGGTCGGAAGAAAAATTTATTTTCTACTTTTTAGTCCACAAGAAAAATGTGGTTTTTAAAAAAGTTTTTTTTAAGTATTTTATTTAGTGTTGGAAGGGATCGAGCCTTATCTGCCAGAGGTTTGAATTCGACACTTTTTTCGAATTTATCAACCATGAGCTTTTTGCTGACTCGACAACTACTCCGTCAACATTAAGGATACGTGTCAACTGGTTATGCGCCATTGAGGCCATTGACTCCGATTTCAGCCTGCTTTTAATTTTGGATTTGCTTCCATAGCTTTTGTCCAACCAAGAACAAAATACAAGGCAGCAGTTGTTTGATTTTTGGAGTTGTCTCTCCTAGAAGAGTGGCTGTCCCCAGCTAACGAGCCTCATCTGCCCGGGGGGTCGAACTTGAGACTTTTCGGTTTAGCAACCATGAGCTTTACCGTCGACCCCAGCTTGTTATCAAATCCAGCATTGGACAAAACACCTGTTATCAAAGTCGCACAAACCGCCTGTGATCAAACACCCGTTGACAAACCGCCTGTGATCAAAGACCTTATGTGGACAAAACACCTGTTATCAAAGCCGCACAAAGCGCTTGTGATCAAACACCCGTTGACAAACCACCTGTGATCAAAGACCATCTGGTGATAACACACATGTGGTCAAATCCCCTCAGGTCAAAACCCCGCTGTGGTCAAACCACCTGTGGTCAAAGGAGCTCTCTGTTGCATCTTGTTCTAAGTCAAATCACAATTACAGAGAACATTGTATACATTTTAATGCATATGATAATAGATGTGCATTACTATGAAATCCTTTCCCACATTAAAAAATATGAAGAAAGAGCCCTTACATTTTAAGTTTTGCTCTATAAATGGATATGACAATACCCATGTAAACAATAGTTTACTCAATGTGAAATGTTTATATTTATATGTTAATATAAGTGAATGATCGCTGCAAAGTTACGGGCAACAGTACATCCATTTACACAGGTTGTACGCCTTAGCGACAACACATACGTGTACACATAACAGTTGATCATTTCCACACTGTAGTGTGATAGAAAGTTAGTGTTAGGCTGCTGAATGGATCAAAAGAGTTTAGGCCTATATACACACTGAAATATGCTGAGGTGGGTGTATTTGTGAAGTGTAGTATGTGTATGTGTGTGCTCTGTGAAAAAGTTAGACATATTCATACAGCTTTTCGTTTCTTTCAACTTGAATGTTTCAGTCTGAACAAATATGAATAGACCATCAAATGTGAATTTCATATGAGTATGTTTATGCAGATAATCCAATATATATATATATATATATATATATATATATATATATATATATATATATATATATATATATATATATATATATATATCTGTGTGTATGTTAACTATTGCTTCCCCCTCTCTCTGTCATTCTTTACAATATCCAAAATGTAATTATATAATACATAGGCCTCTATACTTTTATACGTGTGATTATAATGCAAATATGCATTTAATAAAAAACCTTGATATAAGCATGTAAAATCTAGGTTAGACCCTAACGGGGTAGTAGAAAATGTATTTAAATCATAAAATAACAGAACAAATACAACAGCAGACCAGGTAATCACATATATTACATTTTATTTATCCTTGCGCTGATGCCAGTTTATTTAAAGATAGTTTTTTTTTAAATATGTATCGCTGTATAACGTTGTCACCTGACAGTTCAAATTACCGTTGATATTCAAGTATCTAGATTCAGGCTGAGCTTTACAAAAATGTTATGAAGATTACATTTCACAGTGAAGAATGTTAAGATCCTGTGCTGTGTTGACAAAGAGATTTTTGAAGGGAGACAACAATGACGGGAATTGTTTGAATTTATACTACACTTCGGTATAAGGGAACTAATATAAGCCATTAAACTAGGATGTTGAAGTTGAAATTTACTACAGACAAAAAACGTATAATTATTTCACATAATTTAGACGACATATCTATATAATTTGATTTAAATTTTAGAATTGTAAACTATCATTGTTTTTTACAAAGTAATAAGTATTACAATGGAAACAATAAAAAATTTAATTAAATATAGTCAATATACACATATTTAATTAAATATAGTCAATATACACATTTGTTCACGTTGTAAATTAAATTCGAAACCGGCAGTATTTGTTAATGAAAATATATCGATTTTTCCATAATATTTTTATACAAACAAGCATTCAATATAGCTGGCGAGACATCGTTTCTATACACCTTATCAGTTAATTATTTAATGCATACTTAAAAAGATATAATACATTTTTACTCCTACTTTTTATTCAACTAAAACGTTGTTAAATCGTACAAACATTAATTAAAATATAATACACTTAAACTCAGAATTACCGATGTACATTTTGTCAAGTGTAAATTCTGAGTCGCTTTTAAAGTCTGACTTGAGCTGACCCGTCATCTACAACATCATCAGCTGCAGAAATCTCATCCACCCCGTACATACTTGTCATTACAGGTGAGGAGCTTAATGACTCACTGACGTCATCACGGCCATGTGTGACGTCAGCAGCGACGTTGACATGATACACATTTTGTTGAGATAATCCTCCATCTTTATTATCCTTATACGCAACATCGTCTTGCGTGAAATGTATGTCTTCGTTCTTGTTATCGTTGTTTTCATCAGTGGATGCGCTACTCTCATTCAAAGGCTGCTCTTGGTCGGGGTATCTCCGCTTGAAGCAGATAAAAACAACGATAACGATGAGAAGAATCAGCGCCATGCCACCGCTGATGGTTACGGCGATTATGAGACTGGTGTGGTCATCAGAATCCTGTTTAACAGAGATCTGCGCGGAGTTTTTTGAAGAAGTTTCGGGAACATTCGTGGTTTCAGTAGTCTGGAGTGATGAAGTATCACTGGTATTTTGAGAGTCGATAGGGTTTAGTGTTGGGATTATCAAGCATGGGTTAAAACAGGTGGTTGAGTTTAATCCGTCTGATGGTTCTGGTACCATGGTTATGTTGGCGTCTTGGTCATGTGACCACAGGATGAGCACACATATGTCAGTGCAGGAAGCGATGGTGTTTGTATCCAGCGGAAAGATGCGGCCGTAGTTGGTGCAGTCGGTGATGATGTGGGTATTGGAGCAGCTGAGAATGTCAGTGGAGGATGCGTGGCACTCGTAGAATAAGGTGCCGTTGGTAGGTTCTGTAGGGTTCTGGTGTGTTTCAGTGTAGCCTGTTGGTTGTTGGGGAGATAACTCGTATTTGCTGGTGTCGCTGCTACATAGTGTAGACACGATGCTAAGATAAATAAGATGCATATTATTACTTAAAGAAATGCATAAATTAATGTGTGAAAAGAATATAATTTAATAACAAGATATAATTAACTAATTCTTCAATCGTAAAGATACATTTTGTTTTTCTAATTTTCTGAAATACATTCACACATACAAAACACACACCAACAGACAAACACTGGCACACATAAACAAACACATATACAAACTTGTAATATCCTAACTGTGGGAAACTGAAAAAAAACATTTATACGCAATAAACGTACCTGTTGTATAAGTAATCATTCATGTCAGTGAATCTGTTGTACGTCACATTGTCAGCATTCATGTAGGACACTGACAAACGAACTGAATAGACACTGTCAGCTGTTAGCAGTAGACTTAGACACAATACCACCACATTGACCGTTTCACGGGTATGCCACATTCTTGTGACGCTCTAAGATAGAAAAAAAACATAAGAAATAATCCCATGTGTCGGTGAAGACACGGTTTCATTTATTTTTCATGATGTGATTTTTTAATTACTAAGATTTTAAGTTTTTAAATACTTTTCTTGCAGAACATATTTTTCCAGTAAAGAAATGATTGATGCTTTTAAAAATGTTATAATCTGCGAAACCGAAAAGTACCGAGTTCGAACCCTCGGGCAGATAAGGCTCGATAGCTGGGGACAGCACCTCATCTTGTAGAGAAAACAGATGATACTAACACTAATCACTGGGCGGATGACCTTCCATCAAACGTCACCGACCAGGGCGCATGAGTTCCTAGATAAACTTCAACGGCCACGAGTTCGTGACTAAGGCGAGCCACCTAGATGGAGGCCCCGGCTGTGGTCAGGCATGGGGAAGGGGGTGGGGAAAGCCGCCATGGGGCACTTAGTCCTAGACACTCCACTCTGTGGTGCCTCAACAAGCCGAACTTTTAAGGTACGTACTTTGACTGGAGGCTTGATATCATACTATTAAATTATGTGACTAAAACCGCGGGCTGACTTACGTAGCCGAGTACACTACACTCTACTAAAAAAAAATCAATAAATTCCTTCACTTTGAATGGCTTCAATAGCCTTAGATACATACAAGTAAAACCTTCACTAAAATTGCCGATCTTGTTTGGTAGGCCTACTTGATGGCGAAAGCGGGGACGAGAGTGCAACTGTTACAACAGAAACTTCTGCCTTACATAGAGTGATAAAATTAAAGCAAAACGTAGAGAAGACTTACAGAGAATTGCTTGACATCGTTCTATGCCCTATATTTGCCTCACATAATGCTATGGTGAACTACACGAATGACGAATTAAGTAGTCACATAAGAGATTACGATATTGCACAATACTAACTATACACATTTTCTTCAACTTTTAACTAAATGCATCAGTCAAGTTTTCTGTTTTCTGTAAATAGTCATTGTTGCATTGAATTTGGAACTATGTTCATTACTCTGCAGTTGTAATTTATAATGAACATATTTGTGAAAATTGAAAAACTAACCATTAATAAACTAATAATCTAAATTAAATGCATTTACGTTTAAAGTTTCATGTGCATGTATTATAGAAGGCGTACATTTAAGTATTAATTACAAATGTATCAACAATAGTAATCATTAGTATAAACACATAGTAATAAAAGCAATGTTTTAATTAATCATCTGTCATTCTAAACGTTTACTATAAAATAACATGTTATATTTACCTTTTTGTACAAATAATTCACTACTGAAAATATCCGCGCCTTGCCTAGACAGCAACCAACAACATCCCACACGTAGAATCCAGTACACTCTAAACATTTAGCTGTTGATTTTATACAGCGTTACAGTGTATGTAGTCAGTGGACCGAAACGGCACGTAGTAGACCCGAGAGACAGACGAACATAGACTAGAGTTCTCTATGTGTGAATGTACTGTAAAGGGGGAGAAGGCTGGTGTATGTGTTTACATACAAAGGGCGGTTGTGTGTGTGTGTATGTGTGTGTGTGTGTGTGTGTATAGAAGGTGGGGAGGTTGGTAAAAAAATATTTAAAAATACAAATTAAAAAAAAATATTTAAAAAAAACCTCGAAAACAAGCATGTTTACAATCGAGTGATTTTCAGAGTTTCATCCAGGCATCTCTTCGGAGGGAAGGGGGGGGGGGGGGGGTTGCTTCCCAATACACTTTTACTAGTGTCCGCCCCCTCGAAAAGTGTTGACCCCCCCCCCCCGAACATTTCAAGTGCCCCCCCCCCACCCCGGGGAAAAAAGTCTGGAATAAACACTGGTGATTTTATATTTAAAGTACACACATTTTACCAAAATACTATTTGAGTGCACATTTAAATTTTTTTCCTGATATTTTTAACACGCAAAGCTTTACTATGTTCTTTTACTTTGTTACCAGTAAAACTCTAGTTAAAGTGTGCAAGCAGTTTGATGTAATATTTTATAGTGTGATAAAGTAAACAGCAGGCTTCTTTGTGAGATTCAGGCACTTTTTTTTATATTAAAACATATTGCTTACACGTAATGATAGAACTGAACTGTTTATAGTATTAAAAAATACAAAATCAAAGCTCTTCTCAATAAAATGTCTAGATTGATTTTATTTCACATCCGTTGCATTTGGTATATAGATTTGCAATAGACCTATGTAGACACATAGAGAAATGTCAAAATATGAAATATAGAACACTCTTACACTATACGTAACACTATACATACTTACATTCTACATTAAAGAAAGATTGTCTAAGAATCAAGCGAAAACTAAAACCCAGAATGTAAGGTACAATAACACAGTACACCAAAGTCGGATACGCACAGTGTACTTTATCAAATATTATGTTGACTTACCGTATTGGTGCAAAACTTGTTGAATGTAGAACCTCTATAGTGCACAATGAAAAGGCACAAGAGGACTTTCGGTAGTTTCACGATCCATATATTTTAATTTTTCATCTTTTCTAGCCCCGTAATACTAGAAGAACCATCTGCAGCACAATATGTTACATATTATTTTAAATAATTTTATTATTTTTTTTACCTTACTATATTATATAGCGGAGATAACATTACTCTTACATTCCCATAACCTAAATATAATAAAACAACTATCTATTTCCCTTTAAACTACATTAAAATATACAAGCGCGTTGCTTATTTCGTTGACCGTTGATGTAATGAATCACTACCATTAAAGACGACCATCGGCAGTGATAACATTTCGTTAGCTTCAACACTGAAAATGTTCAATTTTTTAATTTACGCCGTAACACATGGAAGTGCCACCCAGTGTGGGTAGAGCCATGGTTACAATATACTAGCGTAATGTATTTTGTTATTAGTAATTGGGCGTAATGTAATTCCCGGTGCTGTGTTTTCCCTCTGTTGTTGTTTGGTATTTCCTTCATTGAACATTTCAAAGAAAGGTTATTCCATTTACTCAAACCGTTCATTTAGTGTTGTAGTGACTTAGGGTCAGGACTTAGGCCTACTATTACAATGTTAACACTGTAGTGATGTATCTCGTGTGTGTATATATATATATATATATATATATATATATATATATATATATATATATGACAATATTTATAAATATAGATATAGATATTTATATATATATTTATATATATGTATATGTATATATATATATATATATATATATATATATATATATATATATATATATATATATATAGTTAAAATATACCCGTTAACAAAGTAACGTAACTTTGTAAAATTTGGAAAATATATATCCTTATTATGTCCCTTTAATTTCAAGACGTTCATATTTTTAATCGTTTTGTAGACAGTTAAAAAAAAAACGTGTGTTTATGTTAGTGTGAATATTCTGTAATTATAAACATAAACCGTGTTGCACCTTGCGTATGTGTTTATTTCTTATGTGTTCTTACATAATTAAAATAATAAGGCTCTTACATGAAAATATAATAGTTAGAGATTAGCAGCACTATTTTATTTTTGCAAATCGAAAACATGTTTTTTAGAATTGCATTTTCTTATCTTCTTCTTCATTCTTAATTTTAATGTTGAAAGGGATCCCCTCCAACACAATTAAATATACGTGTCAACTGGTGATGCGCCATTGAGGTTATTGACTCAGATTTCAGCCTGCTTTTCTATTAGGATTTGCTTCCAAAAAAGAACAAACTACAATGAAATTGTATGATTTTGGTGTTGTTTCTCGTAGAAGACCCTCTGTCTGAGGGTTCGAACTCGAGACTTTTAGGTTTAGCAACCATGAGCTGTACTAACTCGACCACGCCGACCTCTATCTGATATATTTTAAGATTTCTTGTTTTTAAACCTTCTTATATTTGCTCTTAGAGGTACCAGAAACATTCACTACAATGCGTGTACACTTTTTAAATAAAATAATTGCTTTGGTTTTGTTGCAGGGCCATTTTATGTTGCTAAACTTGCTCAGAACATATGTGTACATATTCTAGCTTGTTTTGTAATGTATTTACATTTCGGTATAGTATGGCTAACAATAACAAATAAAATAGTTAAAGTTTTCCACGTCATTATGACCACTAATAAATTAAAGTAACTGAAGAATAAAGAACGTGAATAATGAATCAATTGTTGCAACGTGTAGCATAAAACATGTCATATGCAAATATTTAAAGGTCATAATATAGCACATGCTGTGTTCGACACAGCATAACTTAGACCTAAAAAATCTAACGCTTTAAGACGGCAGAAGGAAGTCAAAAAACATTTAAAGACCGACCCGGCCAGTTCTGAACCGAGCGGCATTTCTAAAGAGTTAAAAATAGACTATAGAATTGTTTCTTTTGACTGAGATTACACTAACAAGCTCCCCTTTCTTGTCAACAGATTTGAATGGTTGTGTGTGTGTATGTGTGTGTGTGCACGTATGTATGTTTTATGTGTGTGTGTGTGTTTTATGTGTGTGTGTCTGTATGTGTGTAGAGTAAAGAAAAACACGTCGCAATGAGTGTGATAAATACCTTTTAAAAATAATTAGGCCTCCTTCATTTCAAATATGAAGTTGTAAAGTAATACGCTATTAGTGGAGGTGGGTTGTTATTGTTATACTATGAAGATAAAGAACATATATATTTACCTTGCAGTTCATTGTTATCCAGAGGTCTTTAAAACACACTGATATATATTTATATGTATATATATATATGTATATATATATATATATATATATATATATATATATATATATATATATATATGTTAATCAATATGTAATGTTATGTTATGTTATGTGCTTAAATCAGTATTATTTGACAATATTAACAAGTGTGCGTCTAGTCTCCTAAGGAATTCAGTAAAAGAAAAAAAAATGCATTTATTTTATCTTCACGTCACTACTTTTGATACCATCAAACTCTGTAGCACGTGTGAGTTATCTATCTGTTATGTATGCCCGTATTGGTGAATGACACGTGAACAACTTTCTAAGTAAAACTCTATGTCCTGTATTACTAAAATAGAATGTCAACAACTTTCATTTCCATCATTAATCTCTGATTCTAATGTCATTTAGACTATCGCAAAAAAAAAAGACGTAATCGTTCTATAAGTTATACGTGCTCTTTATCGATATAAACTCGTCTTGTTCTGGGAGACATACATTATCTTATATATATATATATATATATATATATATATATATATAGACCCTTGTAGTTCGAGTAGCTGGGATATTTAAAATTAGAAGTTGTTACAATTGAAATGTGATTTGTGTTGATGCTGTTTTCTCTTATTGACTTATTGTAAATTATTACTTCATCTTTTTGACTGTGTTTACTCTCTATATTCTATTACTCTGTATTAAAACTCAGCGTATTTTAGAAAACAAAGAAGTTTATAATTATATCAAGCAATTTCAAACCCACGCTTAGTATTCTAAGTAACACGCCATATTAACTTAAATTGCATCTTGTCTAAATATTCATATATGTTTTCATTTGAATTTGCGTAATTTTCTTGTCAACTGCGTATACCTTTTTTTTCTTTGCAGTGCTTTTATTAAATATATGTGTCAGATCCGTCATGTATTGATATTTTGTGGAACGCAAACTTGTATAATTATTGCAGCTGCTAAGTGATTGTGTGTTGGCTGAAAACTAGCATTCTTAAACTAGATGTCGAAATGCTATTTGATTCATGTCATTGGCTGCTTTGGTTTGCGTTAATTGTATTTCTTACAGGACACTAGGATTCGCACGCAGTAGTTGCAAGGACAAATCCGTTTCATGGATGTTTTAATTGTAAATTTGGCAAACTTTTAGAATGTTAATTTGGCCACCGTTTAGAACGTTAATTTGGCTACAGTTTAGAATGATAACCTGGATTTAGACACCGTTTATCCGCATCAGTTTGTTGTTTGCTTGTCATCAAAACAAAACTTGAGGCACGGTATGTATCACTATATTGATTAGTTACATTAAGACGCTGCCTGTTCAATGCTACGATATAGGCCTACTTTAAAGCCTAGCATATGAAGAGACTTCGTTTTCAAACTTATTGAGATATACTTACATATGTAAGCAATCTAGAATTAGTCCAATAAGCAAACACATGTGATACGATTTTTAAAAAAAATCTAATGGCAGAAAACATTTCGGAGTTAACTTAAAGTTTCCCCAAACGCTCATTCTGTAGAATAAGCGAGAAACAGGCACGTTAACTGACAAACACACGCTTTTTTTAAAAAATAGGTACATTATATTTCCTCAAGCAACCCAATAAATATAGCTTGTATTTATTTCATAGTCATTTACT